TTAAAGACTAGACGGGGAAAAAACGCACTTTTCCTAGCCGGTTTGAAAGAGTAGACGATTTGAAGGACTAGACGGCTTACAGGCTAGACGGGTTCAAAGACTAGACGGTTTTAAAGGCTAGACGGTTTTAAAGACTAGATGGTTTTACAGGCTAGACGGTTTTAAAGACTAGACGGTTTTAGAGACTAGATGGTTTTAAAGACAAGACGGTTTTACACGATAGACGGTTTTAAAGACTAGACGGTTTTAAAGACTAGACGGTTTTAAAGACTAGACGGTTTGAAAGACAAGACGGTTTGAAAGACTAGTTGGTTTGGAAGACAAGACGGTTTTAAAAACTAGATGGTTTGAAACAGTAGACGATTGAGAGGAATAGATGCTTGTCCATACTAGACAGATTTTTGGACTAGACGAGTTGCAAAACGCACTTTTACTGGACGGCTATAAAGACTAGACGGTTTTAAAGACTAGATGGTTTTAAAGACTAGACGGTTTTTAAGACTAGACGGTTCTCAGACCAGACGGTTTTTAAGAGTTGACGGGTCTTACACTAGACGATTGTAGTGAGTAGACGGCTTGAAAGGCTAGACGGTTTAACAGACTAGACGGTTTTAAAGACTAGACGGTTCTGAGACTAGACGGTTTAAAAGAGTAGACGGGTCGTAGACTAGACGGTTCGCTAGCGTCCCTCTTGATCAGGGCCGTCTGCAGCGCAAACTGGATCTGAGGTACAACAAATGTTCTAAGGGCGTCCAACTTCTGCCACGGAGCCAGCAGGGACTTTTCTACAGCATGGACATCCTGGAGCATGTTCTGAATTGTGTCAGTCGGCGTTTGGTCCGCGCGGAGTCCTGTTGGTACACCGAGGTGCTGGTAGGTTTCGCCCTCGCCCAGGTAGTCAATCGGGGCCCCCTGGATGAGAGTTCTGACGGGTATTGCTTTCTTCTTTTCTATACAGAGAGTGGCGCACTTCTTGGCGTTGAAGCTGAGGCCAATCCACTCCGCGGCAGTGCTGACAACGTCAAGCAGTTGCTGCATTTCTTCTTTTCCCCATGCAAGTAGGACCAAATCATCAGCGTAGCCGAGGCAGCAGATGTGGCTATCGAATAGCTCATAGCCATTGGACTCCTTGAGGAGAAGCAGGGTACGTATGAGAATCTCTATGACCAAGTTGAAAATGACTGGTGGAAGTGGGTCCCCTTGTTTAACTCCTGCTTCCATGTTTATAGGCCCCGTGTCCCCGCCAGATGTGCTGAAATACACTGAGCCATTGTACAAGTTCATAACAAGGTCTATGATGTGCTGGGGAAGGCCATGTTGGCGAAGCATCATTTCAATCACGTTGTGAGGCACCGACCCAAAGGCATTTGTGAGGTCCAGCCAGGTGATGGTAATGTTGGAGTTGGTAATGCGCGCATCGTCGAGGCATTGCTGCAATACAAAATTGTGCTCAGCGCAACCCTCTTATGGCATGAATCCTTTCTGCTCCTTGGAAATGGCATTTGTGGTGATTGACCAGCTGAGGATCGCGTCGGCGAGGACCCCTGTATACAATTTATACAGGCAATTTGAGAGGGCAATTGGGCGCCAGTTGGAAAGGACCTCCTTTGGACCTTTTTTGTGAAGGAGGATGGCCCTAGAGGAGCGCCAGGCTGCTGGGATGTTCTTGGCCCTGTAGCAGTAGCTAAAGATGGAGTGCATGATGTGGGCCCCACGGTCCTTAGACTTGAGGGTCTTGAAGTCGATGGAGTCGGGGCCGGGGGCTGTGTTAGAGGCCTTGGCAAGCCTCGCAGCGATGGCTTCCCTGGTGATGGGATCTGCAAGTATGCCATCATGCTGTTGCGTCGTGGGCAAGGAGACACCTTCCGGGACGGAACAGAGGTCCATCTGGCGCCCCTTGTACACATCCTTGAAGTACGCCTCTACATCAGCAGTTGGTACGGGGCAAAGTGGTGAGTCTTCGCCTCGCACGTCCCGCATGGCGCGCTTCTTGTTGAGTCGGTAGAGGCGCTGCAGGCGGCGCGCTTCCTCGGCAGCGTCCCGGCGGCCCCTGCGACCCCCGCGCGGCCCACCTTGGCGGCGAGCGCGGCGAGGGCCCTGAAGTGAAACTGTCCACTCGTTCACGGTCGTCTCGAAATCCTCCCAGCCCTGCGCGGACTCGAAGCGTTCGATCCACTTTGCTTGAGCCTTTGACGGCCTGGCAGATGGTGAGGTGGGGCTGGGCCCGGCTAGGTGGGACAGGAGGTCGCCGACTGGGGTCGAGCATGCGGGACTAGTCTGAGACCTTACCGTGGCTGGTGTCTCGGTGGTGCTGGGGGCCGCCGGGATGTGCTGCAGGGTGTTGTGACTCAAGGATGGCGTCCAGGAGTTGCAGTCCACGGAGCTGGTAGGCGGTGGAACTGGCAGCACCGGCGATGATGGAATGGGTGGTGAGGGTGATGCGGATGGCCCCGGAGCAGCGGTAGTTCCTGTGGAGTGAGAGGAGGGCAGTGAACTGTCCTGGACACTCAAAAGGTTGAAAGAAACAGGAGCTACTTGCCTGGGGGCAGCATCCGCGCTGTGTATCATGGCCAAACCCGGGGCGTGCAGGGCCGCAGCTCCGCCCGAGGGCATCGTTGCCGGGGCCCTTACCCCGAGAGCCTCTGCGACCGCACCTGGGTCCTGGCAAGCCATGGGGTCCCAGGGCGACGACGGGGAGATGGTAGAGGTGAACCTGGCGGCGACCTCGGCTGCGGCCTCCTCCCAGGGGCGGCCGCGGGGTGTGGTCTAGAACTATAGAGGTGGGGAGGACTGACAACTCCGCTATTCAGGGCGGCGACAGAAGCGACCCCCACTTCCGAACGCAGCGTTGCCTACCTCCCAGGGGCGCGGATGGGCCGCTCTGGCGCCGTACAGCCTGTGCCGGGCTGTTTCAATGGCAAATTGTGACTGAATATTGTTGTTATAGCATACTGAATCATAGAAGACGTGTAAACGAAGCACATAGAACAATTTTAGGCGGTATATAATAGGAATCACAGGTGACTTGAAGGGATAAATGTAAATACAGGTGTTTGTTTGTGGCTACGTACAGCCGATTGTGGGCGTGAAAGGCTTCAGATGCACCCGTAGATGTGTTGACATCACTAAATATTAAAGCGAGAGTCATCCTAACACATTATTACTGATCCAAGTGTAAGTTTTAGCTCAAATATGCGTTTTTATTGGATGATCTGCCAACACGGAGGGAGCGCTGCGACAGCAGAAGGATCACGTCGGCTGCTTCTGTGGGCATTGTGGTTTTGGGGGAGTGTCTGGGGGTGTTAGGAGGAGTGACAGCAGACAGGATCTAGAAAATAAAGAAAGGTAACTGTATAGAAAAATCTGTAAAGCCCCTATTTTCCCGCCCTTTACTCACACACCTAGAAAGGACCTAACCCTTAGTTGCATCTAATTAAGAAGTGTATACACAAAATATTGCCAATGCCCTGCTGCTTTGTTGTGAGTTGTGAAAATGGGTATCCTGAAAAATTCAAGGCTGCTCAAGAAGCCAGAGTTGCTGCTGGTCTGCCCAAAATCTCGTTTTTTTCATGTAAACAGGTAACATATACTAGACTAAGCCTTCGCAGAGATTCCACCAATTCATTAGTTAGTGAAAGATAAGGTATTAAAATACAGTAAAAAAATATCTCAAATGTGGCCAATGTCACTTTAATTTTTAGCTTGACTGAAATAAAACAAGGAGTCAATTAATTCCATGTACATGGACTTCAAAATAATACAAATTCAGTAGCACATACATCACATTCTTTCCTCACAGAGAGATCTTGAAGCATGGCAAAAAGCAATCCCAAGGGCTGACCTACCTTTAAAGGTAGGCAGCATTGTCTGCTCTGACCATTTCTATGAGTCAGACATAAAAAGAGTTAATGATGATTTAATTATTGGGGACCTAGTCATTAAAGGTGAACCACTTAAAAATCCTGTCCTCCGTGAGGGAGCTGTACCTAGTATCTTTCCTAAACTGCCTGCACGCTTTAATAAGAAAGAAATTAAAAGGAGAGCTCCAAAAGAAAGGAGTGCTGTTCCAGTTAAAAGGACTGCTTCACAAGTAGAGGAGGTATTGTAACTTGTAAATCATTCAATTACCAAAACAATACAGGCATAACACAATTAATTACCCATTACCTTCAGGTTTTAGAACAGGCACTGGACCAGTCGGAGGACATTCAAGTGGCAGAGCCCTCTGACCTACCTGCCCCAACACCTCCTACTACAACTATTGACCCATCCAAAGTCAAAATTCCCTGGAATGGTTGGGGAGTGCATATTTTAAATGACAAGCAATTGTACGTTAAAGTTAATGATAAAGGCACCTCCACTCATTCCATCTCCATCCAAGTTGGTAATGATGGTAAAATTTCTCTAATGATGAGAAATAAAATTATTCCTGTAACACTAGACATGGCCAAAGATTCAACAGACATTGAAAAAATTATTAACGAAGCTGACATGTACTTGGAGTGCTCTGGCAGTGGGTCAGGCACTTTCTCAACCAATTGCAAAGGTGGTATTTTGAGGGGAGTGAGATGCAGGTCATGCAGAGAAAGAAGAAAAAGTGATCGTAAAAAAATTAAAAGACAAGAAGCAAAGAAGAAAAAGCAAAGGAAAAGGAGCAAAAATGTGTACAAAACGAAGATTCAAAATGTAAAGCTAAGAGTAAAGGTAAGCAGGGATTTAGTTTCCCCATTAATTTTAAAACCCTTCTCACTTGCATAGTTGTTGACAATTGATTCTTAAAAAATGCATTTGCAGGTGAAAACAATGAAACAAAAAATTAAGGAAGCTTGGCAGGAATGCAAAAAAATTAAGAAACAGAAACTGATTGATTTGTTGGAAGGTCTACCTGATGCTCAAAAACAGGCAGTCCTTGCCATTTTTAATGCTGCCAAGGTAAAGGGGCCGACAGGCAATAGGTATTTTCTTGATTGGGTCTATGAAGCAATGCTCATGAGGATTAAAAGCCCTAGACTATATGAGCACATTAGAAGAAGAAAAATTCTACCCTTGCCTTGCAGATCATTGCTAGGCAGGTACATGAAAAAAATCCATCCAGTTTTTGGCTTTCAAACAGCTCTTTTTCAAGTTCTGAAGGAAAAAGTCAGAGGGTGGGATGAGAAAGAGTTACATGGTAAGATATATCTATTTGAAAAATTACATTTAATTAAGATTTAAAAAAGGAGAGGTTTACATCTCTTTTTTTAAAAAAATTTTCAGGGGCTATCCTCATTGATGAAATTAAAATTCCTGAAGGAATTGAATTTGACAGGCACTCTTTAAAAGCTATTGGAGTTGTGGACATAGGGAAGCACACCCCTGAAGAACAGCATGGCCAACTGGGGGACCATGTCCTTGAGGTCATGTTCCAACCCTTCCGGGGGCGGTGGCATCAGAGCCTTGGCTGCTTCCTCGCCAGAGGAAATGCCAAAGGCGAAGTACTTGCCAAAGTCGTGCTAGAGGCTATTGCCTTGACCGAGGAAGCCGGCCTCAAAGTGGATGGGGTTATAACTGATGGCGCCACCTGGAACAGGAACATGTTTGGAAGGTTTGGTATTGGTGAAGGGACATCCAGTTGCCAACACCCA